CCCCCCCGGGATCCAGCCGGATTCCTCCCCCGGGATCCAGCGGCATTCCCCACAGGACTGGGGCCAGCACCGGGAGAACGGCCCCGGCCAGGTGGGTGCGAGCCGGGATGGCGGCATTGGCACGGGAAGAGCCCCGGGATGAGGGGCTTCGTCCCGGGATCGCCTGAGGGGCAGCGGCACCGGGCAAGGCCCGGCCCAGCCCGGGCACGGCGGCGGGAATTGGGCGGCCTTCCCAAATCCCTCAGGGAATGCCTTGTCCAGGGTATTCACCCTGAGGTGAAAAACACCATCATTAATGGGTGTTAATCATTAGCTCTCGCTTCCTCTGTTAAGTGCACTTAAGGCATCCACGCACAGCAGCCTCGGGCACTGGTAATGTGGAGCAAACTTGAAGGAAAATGTGAGGAAAATCCCGATTCGGGGGTGGAAAGTGCACCTTAGAAAACAGAAACCAGGCAGAGGGGTTTATTCCTGGTTTTGCTTTAATTGTAGCACCAAAATTCCCCGTTTGGTTGGAGGAAAAGCTGGACCCGGTGCTTCCCTCCCCATCCATCATTCCCACAGCGTGCAGCACTGGGAAGAACGGATGGCAGCAAGGAGTGATGTCCAGAAAACAGGACGGGATGTGAGGGAGCCCCGCAAAACTGCTGGTTTGTCCTGACACCCCTGGGGCTTGGCCACCCTTCAGGCACATGTGGCTGTCCCAATCCCAGTACAGCCCAGTACAGGTATCCCAATCCCAGTACAGGTGTTCTAATCCCAGTACAGCCCAGGACAGGTGTCCCAATCCCAGTACAGCCCAGTACAGGTGTCCCAATCCCAGTACAGGTGTTCTAATCCCAGTACAGCCCAGTACAGGTGTCCCAATCCCAGTACAGGTGTTCTAATCCCAGTACAGCCTAGTACAGGTGTCCCAATCCCAGTACAGCCCAGTACAGGTGTCCCAATCCCAGTACAGGTGTCCCAATCCCAGTACAGGTGTTCTAATCCCAGTACAGCCCAGTACAGGTGTCCTAATTCCAGTACAGCCTGGTACAGGTGTCCCAGTCCCAGTGCAGCCCAGTATAGCTATCCTGACCCCTGTAGAGTTGTCCTAATCCCAGTACAGCCCAGTACAGGTATCCCAGTCCCTGTACAGCTGTCCCTGTCCCTGTCCAGTTTTCCCAATCCCAGTACAGCCCAGTACAGGTGTCCCAGTCCCAGTACAGCCCAGTACAGTTGTTCCAATCCATGTCCAGCTGTCCCAGTCCCAGTCCATCCCAGCAGAGCTCTCCCAGTCCCTGCAGAGACCTCAAAAGCCAGAGCCACCTCGGCACGTCCTGGTGTTCCAGGTGGGATATGCCACAGGATTTCCTGCGGGACAACACTTTCCTTGCTGCCAGGATCCAGCCACGAGTGAGGGAGTGCATAAAGCTTTTAAAAAAAAACCACCCCAAAACAGGACAGGAAATATGAATATGGAAATGTCACAGTAAGACTGAAACTTTAGACTCGAGGTCACATCCAGGGTAGAAGAGTTCAGGTTGTAGGAGCCATGGAAATGCAGGAAGCTGGAGGAGAATTCCAGGCTGCTCCAGCACGTGGGTGTATCCCAGGATTTTCAGCCTCAGTGGTGATTCCCTCTGCCTGCAGCACATTCTGCCCATGAATTATGCAGGTTTTTATCTGGTTAGTGTGTGTGTGTTGACACGGTGTCATCCCAGATTCTTAATCAAGATGCCAGGGAAGATGGAGCACCTGCCCCATGAGGCTTCATTAGCTGTGCCCATAATCTGATCACAGAGTTATTACAGTTCCTATAAAGTTTAATTCTGGGAATTCCAGCCTGTCACTCAAGTACCCTGATGACACAGCTCTCGTGGTGGGGTTTGAGTTGGCTGTTCCTCCACAGGAGCACCTGGGAATTCTGCAGGATCTTGTCCTTGCTTCACACCCTGGTGAAGGTTTTATTATTTTTATTCATTGTTAGTGATTCAGGGTTTTAAAATGCCTTTTTTTTCTAAACTCCTACAGTTATAGTTCCTCTTCTTCTGAGAAAAAAAAACAGAAACCTATAAAGGTTATAATGAGTGATTTTAACACTAATATAAAGTGACAATTCTCACTAAGGTTTGATGATTTTATGTCAATAAAAGCACAAGTCTAAAGCCATTTATTTATGATTGATTATAGCACTGATGAACAGAGTAACACATAATATCTTCTATTATATAGGGTCTGGAATAATTTTGTTTTCAGTAGCTTGATTTTCTGTGAACTCTTTTGCTTTTTTGCCTTTATTCTTCTGTTCATCCTGACCTTTTTAAACAAATACCTTCCTTTCTAGACTAGATGGAAAAAAGGATTCACACCAGAGGCCATGCACACTGCACAGCCAGTTTATTCTCAAGTAAACCCTCTCATTTATGCATCTTGATCTGTTTTCCACATGAGAATATTCCTGTTTCCCAGGGTTTGGAAGCTTACTCTGAAAATGGCACCTTTTTAAACCAATTATCCTTATCCTCTTTAACCAGAGGCTTTGGTGCTACGCCTTTTTAGACCTGGATATTATTTAATAATGTTTTATTTTAAATAACAAACTAAGCACGTAGGATGATGTGCAACTGCAGAATGTCCTCAGCAGTCACAAATCACTCACTGTAAAGAAATTTCCTCCCTGCCCCTTTCTAGTTGTGCACAATTTGTGTCTCCTTGCATTGAGCAAAATGCACATCACCAACCCTGACACCTCTGTTTTATTGAGCAATAACTTCATGTCAAATCAGCTGCCAGAACTCGCAGTTTGCACAATTCTCACGGAATTGTGCTGGGATCCCTTGGGATGGGCTCAGTCAATGCCTAAATGAAGATGTCATTTTACCACAGCAGCCACTTCCACAGAATTCCTCCTCTCTCCAGCCTCACTAGAGCTATAAAAGAGGTCAAATATTGTCAAATATTGTGCAGAGAGATGAATAGAAATTGCATTAATATTGCTAAGCAGAGATTAAGGCACCACAGTTATGAAGAAATTCAGTTGGTAAGGAGCTGATGAGGGATCTATGTTAACAAAACAAATTTAAAATAAGCATAGTCCTGTAGAGTGCCAAGAATGAAAGAATTCAGTTGAAATTGGAAAACTCTGCTTCAGCATCAAAGCTCGTTTTCCTCTCTGAAACCAATGCAAAGGCCCAACTCCTGTGGATTTCTG